GCTCTTCTCCTTTCTCTCCTTTAAATTCTTGCTGGACAATCTAGGCTCGCCCTTGTGGTACTGAATATGACCCAAATTGTCATCAACTTCACTATTTGCCATACCTTTTTGAGGGGGAGATGGAAGATAAAGTCTCCTAGTAGGTGGTGTGATCTCAAACTCAAAACACCACTTCTTTGTAATTCTAAATCCCTCAAATGTAAATTTTTGCTTCGACATTCTTTCTACCTTATGAAGCTTTGGGTCTATATTCTTTTGGACCTTTTGCAATTCCTCTATTCAAGCTTTCATGTCATCTCCTTCCGGCAAGAATCCATTGATCACACTGCAAGCTTTTTTCCAACTTTGTACCGCGTATTATATACATTCAAGCCTCTTGAAGGCCTATACTTTCTGGCACCATTCATGAACATCTTCACGTCTTTGAAAATCGCTGATTTTCTTCCTTCTTACTTCCCTCAATTGACATGCACGAGTGCCACACAATCAAAAACTCATACCCTTGAAAGCATTCCTCCTTAGTCGTCTTGAGCCTTTCCACTATCTTCAAAAGTGCATCCAATTTTTGTCCTCATGTTACTCCTTGATCTTGAGCTCGTCCTAGTCTTCCTCGTGTAGTCACGTCTTGATTCTTGATTTTTTGATTCTTGACTTTGCTAATTCTGTAGTGTTCATTTTGTTGAAACGCTACTCCGCCTAAACATTACTCAATCCTACAAGAACTATATATATATTTTTATTTCTTTTATTTCTCCACTACTTTCTAGATTAAGAGCACTGATATTAATTATTCTTCATCCTTCTAATCACTCGTACTTTCTCAATTCAAAGATTTTATTCTTTCTAATGTTGATGTCAAAAGTGAGCTTATAATTGGACTCATATCCTCGTGCCACATGTTCTACCCTCGTCGTGTGGCCTTCATGGCCTGCCCAAGCATGCTACTCGTGCCTACGGGAGGTCTCACACGTGCGGCTCTATCACGTGTTAACTCGAGATTTGACCTCATTGCACCACGCATCGAATGCATGTCACGTGTCAACTACGTGTCAATGCTTCAAGCATTATTGTGTCAAACTTCCTAAAAGTGTTGAATCAGAAGACATCTATTCATCAAGTCCTCCGGCTCCTAAATATCAAGTTCAACAAACAAAAATACAAAAATACAAATCTCTACAACCCGGATTCCTTAACATAAAGTCAAGCAAGTTAATATCAATGATACATCATCATCATGATGAAATTGCCTACGTAGTCTGCTTGAGCGTGCTATTTGCGCCTACATGACATCTTGCACGTGCGTCTTGATTACGTGTCAACTCGAGATATGAGCTCACTAAACCACGTATCTAGTACGTGCCACATATTAACCACAAGTGGTTGCCTTGAGCATTTTTGTATCAAACTTTTAGATAATTTTGAATTCAAATGCGTCTATTCATTAAGTTATCAAGCTTCAAAATATGAGATTCAACAAACAAAACTACAGATTTACAAATCTATAGAGCTCAGAATCTCCAATGTAAAGTCAAGAAAGTAAATATCAATGATAGATCATCATCATAATAGAACTCCATGCATGGCATTCTTGAATGTGCTACCATGTCTACGTGACATCTCGCACGTGCGGTTATACTTTGTGTCAACTCAAGATCTGAACTCAATGCACCATGGATTCAATGCGTCACGTGTTGGTGCTTTAAACATCATACATTCGCATCACGTCACGTAACCATATGTCAAAACCTCACGCGTCTATGGGATTGACGTGACCACAGGTGAAATGATGTATTGCTGGCTTGGATTGACGTGGCTTTTGGAGGATTATGTGGCATCTACTACATAATGACGTGATGTACGGTGGGAGGTTGATGCGTCACTCGAAAGTTAAAGAGTATTGTCACGCGTGGTGCATTTGTACTCTGCACGGTGTGTTTGCGCCACGCATGTGCGCATTTACTTGTCGCAAGCGTGTGCTCGTTTGCACTATCTTACTATTCTTGCTCAATCGCAAATTTCTTTTCAATATCTTTACAGTGATAAAAAAATCTGTCAAATTTCTTGATTTCTCAAATTATATGTCTAGTTTTGCCCACCAACGCACGCTTGGCCTGATCTTCGCCTATGCTCAAGACTTATAAAAAAATTTGAATTCTATTATCTACATGTGCTTGGTTCACACTCTTGCCGTCCACGCAATTTTTCTAGGATTTGTCAATTCGCCTTTGATCTTTCACTGTCCATATGCATGAAATTGCTAATGACAATTGAACTTTCAATGCTCTTCACATCATACTCTCCAAGACCTTTGAAAGCACATCGACACAAGAAGAATTTTTCCACACATCGGGCCGTTGTTCATCAACCTACTCACTTGTTGACTTTTGCACTAGCTTCTTATTCAAATCAATTTGTTAATTATTAATCTACTTGTGCAATCATTATGATTCATGGTATAATTTTTCTCTGTTCAAAACACGGCACATTTTGTGAATTTCAAGTTTATTGTACATTGATCTTGGATCAGTGTAGCAGATGGTAGCTAAAATGCAAAATAGCTCTCGCAAGACAAGATTGATAAGAACTATTCATTGTTGCTAGACGGTCGCAAAATCATATGTAGTGCTGTGTTAAGGTCTTGGACAGAGAGTCACTCGGTCCCAAAATCCATATCAAATCGTCAAACTCCCAGCACATCCGTGCTTAACTATTCTTATGCAAAAACTAGTACAAACCGCCAATGAAAGTGAAGCAAAAAATTTACCATGCTCATCAAGATGAATGACTAAAATCCAAGCAATCAGAACACTAGAACCTCAGACTAAAGTCCAGGAAATTGATGAGTGGTGGGAAACCTTCTTGTAGGTCGCGAGCAAGCAAAAGGGACACAAACTTTTTGTAAAGTTGAACAAACCATTCTCCTTGCTAAAATTTTACAATAATAGTATTCACTAAAGACTCTTGTCTTGTTGAAGTGAGAGAATGAAGACGGGCCAAGGAATAATTTTTCATAGCAAGAAAACCGATAAGAATTTTTCCCATTGCTCTACAAGCTTTCTGCATCTTCATCAGACACCATATTCCTGAAATTATTGTTATATTTCATACCCTCTCGTAAATATATCAAACAAGAAGTGAAGTATCACCGTGTTATAGTCTAGAATCTATTCTTTGCAAGACTAAGAATCCTTTTGTCAACAATGAAGGAGAATCGGACCCAGATGGAGTTACTTTCATGTGACTCACGAAGATCTTTTGGCTTCAAATGTGACTTTCCTCCTAGTCTTTAGCAAATTCCGAAGAAGAATTGAAGCCTTCCATGTGCAACATTAGAACCAAGAGGATAAATTTAACTTTGACTTCATGAACAGATCTTGCACATTGACAACACCACCAACAGCATAGAAAAATCTGAGAATGCACGACTTCGAAGCCCTTGCTCTATTAAACTCGCCTTGACAAATTCTCTAGTTTGAACTCACTGCTCGTGACCTCGACAAATTTCCTTCTGAATTTGTACTTTGAACTTGCTGGCTAGGACCTGGTTTAGATTACTGTCACAGACTCAAACACTGGCACAAAAAAAAATTTTGCTCTGAAACCATTTGTCAGGATCAAATTCAAGAATCACTAAATACAAGTGGTAATAAATTCATGTAAAACACAAGTAAACACAAGACATGAGATGTAACTTAGTTCACCCTTTGAGAGCTACGTCCAAGGTATGTAATGTAGTTCACCCTTTGAGTTCTACGTCCACAGCTAGGGAAAAACTTTGCGCGTATATATAGATGATGAGAAGAAAAATAAAATACAATGAATCTCTAGAATCAAGTAACCCAAGTCAGGCGGAGGCTAGCTAGATGTTAACCCCAAAACACAAGTTAACCTCATCTGGATTGAATTCTTAGTCTACTCATATTTTTTAATCACTTGGAAATTTTTTGATATGCATATGTATGAAAAATTGATATAAAAATTTCAATTTTTCTATTTTATAAAATATATTAAATCAATAAAATTATAATTTTAAAATTAAACAAGATTATTAGTGATAAATTAATCTTTTACAAAAAATTTAAAGATTATTTATTTAATTATTTTTTTTCCTGAATAGATGTATGCATGCATAAAATTTTTTATGTAAAAAAATGTAAAAATATAATGAGTACTAAATTATCTCATTTATGTAAAAATTATTATTATAATAAGCACTAAAAGACTATTTATAACTTATTCATCACTAAATTATATCTTTTTTACATAGAATGAAGCTCTAAAAGACTATTCATAACTTATTCATTACTAAATTATATACTTTTTACATAGAGTGAAGCTCTAAAAGACAATTCATAGAGTAATTTGCATTTCTGAATTTAGTTCAATGATTTTTTTTTACAGAATCAAATCAAATATTTGAAAAATAAGAGATTTGTCAGTTATCAAAATTGTGTTAAAAAAATTTCAACTCCTTTTATTTGCTTATTTGAAATATAATTTGATGGTGGAAAAAAATTTCTTCGTCTCTTTTTAATTGGACAATCTTAGATTGATCGAATTCTTTTTCCCTTTTCTCAAATTATATTCTGTTATTGTAAAGTGAAATGAATCAGATGGAGAATCTAACGATTACTGAAATATGTATAATAAATTCATGTGCTGAATATGAATATATATGTAATTTAGTTTCAATTGCCATGCTTTTTTTAAATTTTTTAATCTTACTGCAAATATTTTCTTTATGTATCTAAAACGTGTGTATTCCCAGATTACTTCTTTATGCTTTGTGTAAGATTAAGTCATCTCACATAGAATGATATGGAGACACAATTCTGGACAATGAAACAGTTTTTGAGAATTTTAGAACCCATTCATTCTCAAGTTGTAAGAATGAGCGAAGAAAAAAGCTTCCTAAGATTGCAACGAAGTAAAGCAAAACTAACAAACAAGTCGCAAAGATTAAAAATTAGATGTTGAAGGTGTAAGAAAAGATAATTTTAAATAAATAGAAATTGAACAAACAAGTAAAAAAACGAATAACTTGGAATAATAAATAAAAATTCAAAGTCAATTTCATCTGCTATCATGTACGTGAGTATCATGGATCATGACTTCCAATCCTGTCCACCCAATGCAGGACGAAACGCAATAAGAATTAGGTCCGTACAGGTGAGACTCAGAATTAGAGAATCGAATGAACGTGTCTTCCGACTTGTAGACGCTGAGCAGCAGGCAGCCCTTCCAATCTTGGTCTGCAGCTGGAACTGGGCCTGTCAGCTTGCACTGGCGGGAGTTGACAAATCTCATTCTAAGCAGCTTGGAGTATGCCTCGTCCGTCCGTCGAGCGAGGCCGCGTCGGACGCGTAATCCTTAAGCTCGGCGGCAGATTTGAACAACCAACTGGGCAGTATGCTTGCTGTTGGATATCGGCTGTAACGCAGATCCCGACAGAAACTTTCACTGACTCGTCCATCGACCTACCGTGTACTGTCCATGACACCATGCGATGCTTCACGACTGCAAATCACAAGCATAATGGAAACGTCCAAAGGGGACATAGCAGCATGGAACTGCCACGTTCAGGGCGTGGTGCTGTGCTGCATGGAGCTCGGACTCGATGGAATTCCACCTTTCTGGTTACGCCATGAAGTCCCGTGGACATGAATAGGAAAAGGTTGTGGCAAATCACCAGACTCCGATCCAGCCTCACCATCACGGTTGCTTCTCTCATCGAAGACCGCGGTGCGAGGAAACACTACTGTGGGTGGCTGGTCCTCAAAGTCGGAAGGTGGACTTCTGACTGCTGTGACCTCACCATCGCGGTTGCTTCTCTCATCCAAAAGCGCGGTGCGAGCAAACACTACGGTGGGTGGCTGGTCCTCAAAGTCGGAAGGTGGACTTCGCACTGCAGTGACCATGTGGGTATGGGAGTGGAGCGTCCCCATGAACAGCATTAAGAGGATCACGAGCTGCAGCGTTGCTTTCGCCTTCATATCCATCATAGGTATTCGTACGAGGTCGATTCGGATGACGAATAAACACGTAAATATCCTCGGATCAATAACACCGATCGTGCTTGCTTGATATCAAAAGTAACGTAACTGGAAGCTCACTGATTAACACAGCTCCCTTTGCAGTTCCTCACATAAAAGTGCGCACACAAATTTTGAGCTGCGACTTCACACCGGGTATTACAAAAGATTTCAAGAGTAACTGTAGTTCACCAAACAGCTGGATGAAGACTGTTCTTCAGCGCAGCTTCACCTGATAAGTCACACAACAATCTCAGACCAGAAGAGCGATATATATCACACAAGTAGAAGACATCTTCTACTTATTACTCTATGTCTTTTGTAACTACATATTTTGACCCGCACGAGCGCTTTCTGGGAATAGCTCTAGCAAAAACAAAGCATATATCGGGAACAAGTCTCGTAACTGAAGAACAGATAAATAAGATGTTGTGAGTGAATGGAACAACTCTCGGTAACTGAAGAACTGACAAAATGGACAGTAGAAGTGATCGGGAACAACTCTCTCTACCAGGTAACTGAAGAACTGACAAAATGGACATAAGAAGTGATCGGGAACAACTCTCTACAGGAAAAATCGATGAATCGGACATTGTAATTGATGAAAATATTGCAATTGTACAGTATGTGTGCATATGGTATAAGCTTGAACTGCTCCGAAGGTTCAGTGAATTTACAAGTCCAATCCACCTCTAGCATTTACAAATCTGCCAACAATCATCCAAAAAGCACACTCTCTATCTTACTTGATATGGTCGAATTTCGCAGACGCGGAGCAAAAGACACTTGGAAAGTTGGATTGTAGAACTCTCGAAAGTTTAGGTGACAATTTAACTGCAGAGAAGTCTGGACAGATCTTATTTAAGTTTCGTGGGATTCCACAACGAATAGAATTGATATACAAATCAGTTTACGTTGCGGAGTCGGACTCTAACGTAAAGTTGCGGAGTCGAACTCTAACGTAAAGTGGAGCCGATGATATAATCGTTAGAACTCGTTCCCTTATCACATAAGTATTTGAATTCGCTACCAAAGACATCAGAAATTGTAAAATCTAGTATTATAAATTCTAAATACATCTTTATTGATTTATAGAATTCTGCAAAGAATGAAAATAAATTAACTTGAAATTTGAGATAAATTCACTAATCATTATAATGAGTTTCAATAAATTCATGAAATATCTTCTAAAATCAAATTATATATGAATAGATTTATTGAAAAATTTTCAGATCATTTTAAATTTCAAATCATTAAATTCATGAAATAAATTCACTAATCATTATAATGAGTTTCAATAAATTCATATAATATTTTGTCAAATTAAATCATAAATGAATAGTTTCATTGAAAAATTTTCATGTCATTTTAAACTTCATATCTATTTATTTCATGAAATAAAATCCTTAAAAAAATGAAATAAAAAAAACTGAAATAATATGTAAGTGTATATAATTTGATGAATAATTATCAAAATTTTCAATTATGTTAGAGAGTTGTGATCTTCATGATAAAAGAAATTGTGATCTTACATGTAAATAAAACAACTTTCATAATCAATACAAGTCAAAGATTTTTTGAAATTAATATTTTTTCATTATATATATTTTTATGAATCAAATAATCAAATAAACAGATATATAATTCATTTAATTATCTATTCAAATATGTATCTATAGATTTGTATAATTTGAAATTTGAAATATTTCTCAATCTAATTTCAATGATTCTAAATATCATGCTAATAATTAAAGTTTTAGATTATATATTATCAAACTTTATGTATTTTTTGAACACATAAAAATTTTCTATATGATTAAAAATTAAATCATTATTGAATTTATGATACTAAAAACATTTGCATAACACTTCATACCTCATATATGAAATCTCTATGTAAAGCAATGTTGTGTATTTTGAATAATATAATTACTAAATGCAGCCTAAATATGTTGGGAATTAAAAAAAGTGAGAATATAATCAGATTAATTCCAAGTTGGGATGGTGCGTATGTGACGACGGTGGGTATCATGTATCTACTCATTCAGATTGGGAATTCTCAACTTAGCACGGAAAGTCTATTTGCCGCATTAAACATATCATTTATTTGTTCCCGTTGACGTAGCCAAAAAGTGCAAACTACATATATTGTTTGTTTTTTTTAATCTTCTGGTGTTGTGATTTTTGTTAGTTGAGCTTATCAGTTGGTATGAGAGCGATGCGTTTTTTGCAAAGAAGATTCTCTTCGTCTCAACAAGGAGGTCCAGTCTATCACTGAGGAGGTAAAGTTTAAAATTTATTTAATCGTGGACCGTGTTTTGATGTATGAGTTTCTTATTCTCCTTGTTTCTTTAGCTACCTTCTTCTACGTAATGTCATTCATCGATCATACTTGACATAGATTATTTATTGTTGTTTGTGGATATCGCAGCGAGCTTTTGGATCCATTGTGAATAAGACGAGTCAAGAATTTGATGTATGTGTTTTTTGCCTAGTTCCCTCATCATGTGCAAGATACTTTTGTATACTTTTGCAAAGTGACAGGAGGTCATGACTTGCCTAAGTCATGAACTTCACAAAAAAAGTTTATAACGGTTGGTTTTGATAAGGATGTTCAAATTTTGATCTATTAATGAGTAATGGACAAAAGTGTTTGCACTTTGTATCGATGGAGGAGAGAAGACAAGATTCGTTATGTGTTGTTGTAAGACCTGCAACCTCCGGGCTGACTTTCACTCGGGTTTACCTCAGATGGCTTTGCGGTAGCACATCATGGTTCTAGAAGACTAGGATTCATCCTCACACTCATAACCTAAACACCCACTCACACAATCACTAAAGGTAGCACTCCAACTCACACACACATCAACACTCCAAGGTACTGAAAATCGTCACTCTTTCATATATGAAACAAGTTCTTACACATGACTCTCCAAACTTGCTTGAGAGTCTCTTCCCTACCTCTCTATTTATACTACTTGAGAAGTTATCATAGTAACATGTGGTAATTACTCCTAACTCACTTTTACCTAGGTAAGTTTGACTAACCCACACTGTGTGGCAACATGCCATTGGCCTACCTAAACCTTCTAGAAGCTTCCGGAATCCAAGGTTGATGTGGCGACATGCCATTGGAAACTTTTAAACTTCTACAAGCTTCACAGCCACTAAGTCAACATTAGACCTAGTCTAGCCAATCATTTTTCATACATTTAGTCAAACCAATCAAATCCAAGCTTCTAGTCAAATAACTAATCTCTTGGAATCTAGACCTTTGTAAAGAACAAAATAGAAGTGCTCACTCCTTATAAAAGACAAAATAGAAGTGGTCATTTCACTCTTCTAGAACTACGCTAATTCTTCCGCCAATTATAGACATGATAACTAAACTTAGTCACGACTAGATAAACTTAGTTTTAACTAACTAGTTTAGTCATAACTAGCTAGACTTAGCTTTGCCTTGGCTAATCATATTTGATCACTTGACCACTTCTAAGACTTAGTACATATGTGCAACACCCGGTCTTACAAACCGGTTTTTGTATGTTTGAAGTAGGATTAGATGTAGCCAAGGAGTTGATCGTGGTTAGCTTAGGTACAACTAAATTTAGGTATTTCTGACTAAAGCTAGTTAGTTATAAATAAGTTTAGGATTTATTGATGACTAAATTTAGTTATAATGTCTATACTTGGGAGAATAATAAACGTAATTCTAGAAACTTTGAATGAGCACAACTATTTTATTTTCTATCAAGGTCTAGATTCTAAGTATAGAATACTTTGACTATATAATTGAATTTGATTTGTTTGACTAAGTAATGAAGACTTCATTGATTAGACTGAGTCTAAAGTTGACCTAGTGGCAAGTAGATTTTATATAAGTTTGAAAGTATCAAATACGATGTCGCAACCTCAACCTAGGGATTAGTTAACTTCTAGAAGGTTTAAGAAAACAATGACTTGTTATAACCATCTTTAGTTAGTTAGAACTAAAGTAGAAGTTATTCAAGATGAAATTATAGATACTTTGGCATGCACAAGTCATAAGTATCACGTCACTAATCCGCGTGCTTGGCAGATAAAGTGTAAATGTGTTTGTTGATAGCACCACGTAAGCAACTTGTGTACTTGTTAAGTAAGGATTGAAACTGTTAGTTAGTGTATTAATTGAAAACGCCACGTGTGTTTGTTAGGGTCATCCGCCACATAATCCATCTATTAGGAGTGAAACGGATGGTGAAGATGAGATCTTATTGTGATAGGTCAGTTTTTTTGTTTTTTTGGAAATAGAATAGTAGGTTGGAAAATTGAGGTCGGTTTTAACCTTTTTAGAGTAGAAGTAATTAGATTAGAATAGAACAGCTTTGTTATGGCGGAGAGGAGGTAGTAGTAGCAATCCGAAGAGATCCTCAGACGTGCCCCTGAGGTACTAACGATGTCCTCAGATACTGAGGAGGATCCTGTGGCATTGGAGGAAGTTGCAGCGAAGTTCGTAGAAGACGTAGCAGCAGCCGAGAGTGGTCCGCAAAAGGTAGTTTCACCCTGAACCTCCACTGACACAGTCATACTAGAGACGGGTGATGAACCCTCAGCGGAAGAGACACAGTCGCCAATCCTAAGTGCCGCCAACTTGTTGAGTGTGCAGGTACTCCCGTTGCTCCAGTACCTCGACCGGAAGCGGGAGAAGTATGCAGAAGACCGCACCAATCAGTCCTATGTGGAGATAGTGCGTAACCGAACACGGATCAAGGTGGCGGTGGCGGTGGCGGCTGAGGTCGCCGCAAAGTAACGTAAGAGTCAGCCAATAGAAGCGAAGTACCAAACACTTCAAAAGAGGCTGATTGAGGAAGTTGAGAAGCGAAGAAAGGCGGAGCAAGTCGGTGAGGGTCTTCGCGAGGATGTGGAGAGAGGCAAGTGCGCAAGCGTAGACCTCTTGAAAAGGCTGGAGGCCTGTAGGACCGCGTACGACGCCGAGTCATTGAAGGTGGATGAGTTCTCGGCTGCCGCGAAGGAGAAGGAGCAAGAGTACCAAATCGAGTTGGCGGTGAGGGCGAAGATGTTGACCGAGTATGAAGCTGCGTGGATTTCGGACTTGGAGCTGATCGAGATGTTAGAAGCGCAGTGCGGGGAACTATGTACGCAACGGTCACAAGTTGAGGAGCAGTTTTGCGAGTCGGAAGCGAAATTGACGGAGGCCGAGGGGAAGAACTGGTAGTTATCAGAGGAGACGCGTGATGCCTTAACTGCGAGAGTGGAGCGGTGTTTGCGCAGGTATGTGTTGTGGCAGATCAAATTCCACAACGGACTTCGGTTACGCGAGATTTAGCATCGTGCAGCCGAATTGATAGTGCGAAGCGGACGGAGACATCGCCGGTTATCCAAGAAGCTCGAGTCGTATCTTAGGAGATCGCGGGACGCGGTAGCGAGTCTGGACGTAGAGTTAGCAAGCGTTTTGAGAAGATTAGGTTTAGAGCGGAGGTTAGAGGGAGCGGCAACTGCCGACTCCGCAGGCGTAGGACCTGTTCGCTGCTCGCATTAGAGCAGGTGACGGTTTTTGGTAATTAGGAATAAAGTAGTCCAAGGCGTTGGCCTGGGAGGTCTTTTCTCAATTTAGTTTCTCAATTTTGGAACTCTGTATTCTCTGCGCGTTTGTGAGTTGAGTGTGTTGGTCACCGCGTAAGAGGTACTTTGTTTTGACGAAGATACCGCATCCGAAGTAGGAGCCCTAATTCGAATGTTCTGAAATAGCGATTGGCTAGTGACAGGATTAAAGCAGCTGCCTGAGATTGGCAGCTGCCTGCAATCATCCAATATATCCACTATTGGCAGCTGCATGCAGATACTCTTAGTGTACTA